TCAATCTTGGTCATGCAACTTAATCTCTATGTCCCTCAGTTCTGCATCTAGAATTATCCATGTTAATTTATTATTCCCAAAGCAAAATGTCTTGTGCATGAGAACTCCTCTATTAATATGAAAAACAATGTGAACTACCCTGTGTCATATTAGTCACACTCACATACTTTCCTTAGCCCAGATGGTTAGCAAGACTTTTAAAAATCATGCGACTAGTTTCAGATTGAATTGTTTGTAGGGTTAAGCTGCATCCAGCATCCACCCATCTACTTGCTGGTGGAGCTCCCTTTTCAGGTAGTGGTACCCCAAACACCTCCCCCACCTCCATGCTTTATATATCTCAAGAACAGGTAATACTGGAAAGTTTCTAGAAATTAAAACATCGGCTTTGGAATGAGACAGGCTGAGTCAAAATCTTCAGTGTGCTAATTTCAAAACTGTGTGAAGAATTTGAGAGTTCAGCTTAAAAATGGCTAATTGCAGAGGCCCTCCCTGGTGGCACAACCGGTAAGGAGGCAGCACTGCAAACTAGCAGCTGCTTCAGTGCGAGTTTGATTCCCACCCCTGAGGTGACCCACATGGCCTGGCAGACCGCTCTTGACACACCAGCTTCTCACCTCAGCATTGTACTTCGTCAGTCGGCCTGTTCTGCTTCCCACTCTGTCTCTGGTGAATCCTCTCACCGCCCCTGCACCTCTAGCCTGTACCCCAGTTCTGTGTGCATAAATAAACAAATCTTTTTAAAAAATGGTTAATTGCAATATCTACTTTTAATCCCTAAACATTAATTGAGCAAGTACTATGAGGCTGGGCTTCAGACTATTACTGGAGATAGAGCTGTCATGGGAGGACAGGACGGCGGAGGAACTGACGATTGCCGGACATTGTGGCAAGTGCTATCACAGAAATAAGAACAGGGTGTTCTGGGAACAGTAGGGTAGTCACCTCTGTGCCAACGGTAACTGGGAGGGTGTCAAGGGCTGTCAGGGAAGGCTTCTTGGAGGCAGAGATTACTGTGAAGAGGTGAGTGCTGAGTTAAGGGATGATAAGCCAGGTGACAGGTGTGCTCCTAGGGCAAAAACACAGAGATCTGAGAGAGCGCGCCCCTCTGGGAAAACAGAGCGGCTCTGAAAAAAATGAAGCCATAAAGGTTTGTAAAGCCAGATAATGGTGCCATTGCTTTATGAACGAGTAGATACCTTATCTGGAGGGTCGGGGAGCCACTGACGAAGGTGCCCCCTCACTCTGAGAGGACTTTTACGGAGACAGCATCGACCTGAGCATCAAGTATTGGCCACAACTGTGGAGTTTCCCTGGTCCTCAGTCCTCCTGAAGCCCGTCACTTAATCAACTCACCTCTAAAATTTCGTGCTCCACCAGCGAGACCCCTCAGGGGTCCGTGGGGTTCTAAACAGGGTTATGCACATCACGTTCGCTGCCAAGTGTGTGTCACCTAATGAGAATTTTCATACATATCCGTAGTTAAACTATGAAACCACGGCTAGGCCTCGCTCTCCTCCCTTCCTTCCTTTCCTTCTTCAGCAGTGTAGGAGGCGGCGGCGGGCAAACGCCAGAGCTGTGAGGATGCGCTCCCTGGCGAGCCTCCTAGGTGAGGATGCGCACCCGCCGCCCCAGCCTGGGGCGCGGAACGGGCTGGGCATGCTCAGTGGGTCTGCGGGGCGGCGGGGCGGGGCGGGGGGCGAGCCGTTTCGGGGGCCCCTGGGCGGATTCTCTCTCTGTAAATAGCCGTGTACAGAAGATGGACGCACAGAGGGGTTTATCCGAGACGGTGGTTGACTTGGGTTTTTTTCCTGGTTGTTTTTTTATTCCCTCATCCAGCAAGTTTGTCTCCCAACGACTGAAGAGGCTTTATTTATACTGTTTGTACTATAATTAAAACCACTGACAGGCATTTCACTTTGCTCGTTGCTTCATACGATCTTGTTTGATTCAGTATGCCAGTTTGGGTTTTCCTGCCTTGGGATTTTGGTGTCTGCTGTACAGTATTCAGAGGGGAAAGAGAACAGAAAACTGTAAAGTGATGGGGGAGGCGTGGACAATGTGGGTGCCTCTTTCTAATAAAGAAATGGAACTATGTCCACACCGCTTCCGTGGGGTTTGTGAGGGGCTGGGTGCTGGACCGTGGTCGCCACTGGTTGGGTCTCTGCTGCCGCTGGGGCGAGCCAGAGGGACGGGGCCTCCGGCCGGCCGCCTCGCTGCGGGCAGCGGGCCCACTTGAGCCGCGGGCGCCGGGCCGGGAGGCTCTGCGGGGCGGGGAGCGCCCAGAGGCCGTCCCCAGGGGCCTGCGCCTTCCAGATGCTTCCGCGTCTGCACCCAGCTTGTGAAGAGGACTCAGCCGGTGGGCAGGACACGGCCCGATCCAGGCGCCGTGACGAATGTGAATTTTCTCACACAAAACGTACCGCTTCTCTGCTCCCCTACCAGAAGAGTGTAAAGAAAGTAAAATGCACCCAAAGCGCCCCCACACGTCCCCAGAGTCGGTGATGGAGCGCCCCATGCCCCCTGGGGCAGCGGCGTGACACCCCCACCCCCGTCAGGAAGCCCAGCGCCCCGCACTGCCTGGCCGCGGAGGTGTTCCCTGCCCAGGTCTTCCTCAGCACCCCGGATGAGCCTCCAGGCTGACCCACAGTGGAACAGGGGACCCCACGGGGCCTCAGGCCCCCACCGCAGCGGGGCCACACAACACCCGCAGGCCACGTGCAGAATCCCAGAGCAGCAAGCAGGACAAGCTGCGCCTGCGGAGGCCCCTTGCCGGCCCGCGCAAAGCCACGAGGTCAGTGGGTCAAGGGGTGTCTTTCCACAGAGCCTGGGGGGCGGCAGGACTGGTGTGGCAGGCCTGAGCCCGCCCGCCCGCCCGGCTCCCAGGGCCTGCTCTGGCCCCCAGGGGTCCAGTCCGCCCCAGCTCCCCTCCAGGGGCCTGAGGCAAGGCCATGTGGGACAGGCCAGTGTCCCCAGAGCCCCTCACAACCCCAGAGCCACTCCACTGAGCACTCGGGGAGGCGAGGGCCGGCGGGGCGGGGCGCCGGCGGGGGCCCAGCTGGCGCTGCTCCATGGGCACCGAGCCCCTCCGACCCCCAGCGGCGCCGCGGGGCAGCTGCCTGTCCCGTCCGGCTGCTCAGCAGGCTCCTGCCCGGCTCCCCCGTGCGGTGCTCAGGGGAGTCCGTCGCCCCCAGGACACCCTAGCAAGATCCCGGGGCCACGGATCCGGAGGGCAGGCCCAGCCCGGAGTCCCTGCCAGGTGGGGAGGGTCAAGCCACGCTCACAGTGACCAGAGGCGGGGCTGGCCCCAGACACCGGTGGATGGACGCTGATGGACGGGACACCGGGGGACAGCGGCCGCGGTGGGCGAGGCCACGTGCACCCGCATTCTGCACAGCGTAAGTGACGGGATCGTGTCCACAGGCCGGAGCCCTGGGCCCGGCGTCCGGCCGAGACCCTCAGCACCGGAGGCTTCTCACCGGGCCGCCGCACGGGCAAGCCCGCGCCTGGGGTTGCCACCTGGGCCCATCGCGGGGACCGCACCTGACACGCTGGGGCTCGGTCTGTGCAAGCCCGGCCTGTCGGAGAAGCCGCCAGTATCTCTTCTTCTCTTTCCTCTGAAGTATTTACGTGTATATCTTTTCTTTTTTATAGCATCGTTCGTTCTTTTTTCCTGTTTCTCAAGCAAAAATGCATCGCGGCATTCCCGACAGCCCGGTACCCGGGAACTGCTGGTGACAGCGGCCTCACGCGCAGCTGTGGCCTGCCAAGGGTGCTGAGCCACAGGGAGCGAGGCCACGGGGCGGGGCCTCCGCCACGTCGGCTCGGAGCTCCGGACGTGCACCGACAAGCCAGCGTGGCGCAAGTAAGCAGGCATTTTTAGGTCCTTGTTTTGTTTTTTTTTAAGATTTATTTTTTTACACATACAGAACTGGGGTCCAGGCCAGAGCTGCAGGAGGGTGAGAGGATTCACCAGAGGCAGAGTGGGGAGCAGAACAGGCAGATGGACTGAAACACACTGCTGAGGGGAGCCGCGGGCGGTCAGGAGAGGTCTGCCGCGCCCTGGGGGTCAGCTCCAGGGCTGGGATCGGACTCATGCTGAAGTGGCTTCAGGTTCTCGGTGCTGTGCCCTAAACTGCTGCGCCCCAGGGAGAGCCCAGTCCTTATTATATACATATATATATATATATATTTTAAAGATTTATTTATTCATATAGAACTGGGGTA